TTATCACACATAGAGAGAGGAAGAACGAAAACTAATCCGGGTGCTTCGTTTTATTCTTCCAACACACAACATTATTCAAAGTAATAATGCAAGACGAAATTTAACCTAACGAAGAGGAACTAACCAATTATGCAGAATATATTTATCAGCAATGAAGAAGAACTTAAAGAGATGCCCACCGAAACAGCAACACAGCAAGATAAACAAAGAATGACCCAAAGTTTAAAAAAAAAAAGAATTCTTGCTCTTATTTAGAGAAGATAGTATTTTTTTTTATTTCTTAGAGTGCTTAAGTTTGAGTGAGGATGTGAGAGTGTTTTATTGTTAAGAGTGTTCCAGCGTGTGTAGACCGTGAGTAAATAATGAACTAAGAGGTCTCTTTATATAGTGAAGGGGAGGGCACATAATAAAGGAAAATAAATAATTTAGGATCAATTAAATATTTTTCCTTATTTCAAAGGAGCCAAATCAGAAATATTTCAATTTATTTTTTTACCAAATATAAAAGCAAGAAACCTGCCCACTTTTAATTAAGGTGAAGGAAATCACATCATATAATATAAACAAGGAAAAAATAATTCAAGACAATCATAAATTGATATAATCAAGCAAGCAAAACATAATTATCTAGGATAAAATAAAATTACAGCCCCCAAAACAAATATTCACAGCCTAAAATACTTTGAGTATCATCAGCAAATCAATCACAACAAATTCTAGAGTTGATGATTTCGATTAATTAAAATAGATGGCTGACTGAAAAGGGATTACAAGAGGTATCTCATTTAATCATCAATTCTTTTGGTGATTTCCCATCTTTTGATGTATGTATTACTCAAGGATTAATGGATATTGTAGGCTCGACGATTAAAATTATGGAAGAGAGAAAATCTAAGCATATATATGACCCTATGTGCATGCAAAATTTTCCTCAAGTACAAAATAGAATTATACACTCTTCGTCTACCATAGATTGGCCCGATTGGTTGTTTGGTTAGTTGACTCTACCAAAGGTGGTGTTATGGTTCACAATGGTTCAGAATCGTCCTTTGTTGCAGATGTGAAATCTAAGCATATACATGACCCTATGTGCATGCAAAATTTTCCTCAAGTACAAAATAGAATTATACACTCTTCGTCTATCATAGATTGGCCTAATTGGGTGTTCGGTTAGTTGACTCTACCAAAGGTGGTGTTATGGTTCACATTGGTTCAGAATCGTCCTTTGTTGCAGATGTGAAGGCCAACCAAGGTCTTGATCCGACTTTGGTTGAATTTAAACGAGTGGTGCTTAAAAAGTCTATAAAGTCTTTCTCCCAAGGGGAATATAGTGTGCTTCGATATCAAGGTCGTTTGTGTGTTCCCAATGTAGATGACTTGAGAGAGCAGATCTTAACAGAAGCCCATAGTTCTCAATATTCCATTCGCTCGGGAGCCACCAAGATGTACTTTGACTTGTGGGAGGTCTATTGGTGGAGTGGGATGATTAAGGATATTGCGAAATTTATGGCTAAGTGTCCTAATTGTCAACAAGTGAAAATTGAGCATCAAAAGCCGGGAGGTATATCCCAAGATATTAGCATTCCTACTTAGAAGTGAGAATATTTGAATATGGACTTCATTGTTGGTTTACCACGTACCCGACGACAACATGACTCGATTTGGGTTATTATGGATCAAATGACGAAATTGGCTCATTTCATTCCCATTAAGGTTTCTTATTCGACGGAGGACTATAATAAGTTGTATTTGAGGGAAATGGTAAGGTTGCATGAAGTTCCCTTATATCTCTGATCGTTGGTACTCAATTCACTTCTCAGTTTTGAAAATCTTTCCAAAAGGGTCTTGGTACTCGTGTTAAGCTTAGTATGACCTTTTATGCATAGACTGATGGGTAATCAAAGTGTACTATCCATACTTTGGAAGATTATGTTGAGAGCATGTGTGATTGACTTCAAGGGTAATAGAGATGATCACTTGCCTTTGATTGAGTTTGTGTACAATAATAACTACCACTCAAGTACTGGTATGGGTCCATTCTATATGGTAGGAGATGTAGATCTCTTATAGCCTGGTTTGAGGTGGGTGAAGTTGCCCTCATAGGTCCTGAGTTGGTGCATGAGGTTGTGTAGAAGGTTTGTCTTATTAAAGAGAGGTTGAAAACGGCTCAAAGTCAGCAAAAGTCCTATGTCGATGTTAGAAGAAGAGATCTTGAGTTTGATGTTAATAATAAGGTTTACCTGAAAATTTCGCCCATGAAGGATGTAATGAGGTTTGGTAAGAAATGGAAGCTTAGTCCCCGTTATGTGGCCCCGTATCAGATTTTTAGGCGAATTAGTAAGGTTGCTTATGAACTTAATTTGCCTAATGAGGTTGCATTGGTTTATCCAGTTTTCCATGTGTTTTTGTTAAAGAAGTGTGTTGGAGATCTGACATCTTTAGTTACCTCAGAAGGTTTGGGAGTTAAGGAGAATCTTTCTTATGAAGAGGTTCTGGTTGAGATCTTAGAAGTAAAGAAGTTGAGAAACAAGGAAATTGCTTCCGTGAAGGTTCTTTAGAGGAATCAGTTAGTTGAGAGTGCTACTTGGGAGGCCGAGACCGATATGATGTCCCGTTATCCTCATATCTTTCTTTCTAACCCTACTCAAGCTTGAGGTATTAAGTTCCTTATGGTTTATTCTTTTGATGTCATGTATCTTAGATATTCCCATGATTTCCCCATTATGCATGATTCATGAAAAGTTTAAATTTTAAGAAAATGAGTTGACTTGATTGATTCCTACATGTTTATGTATATTTGAGCATAAGTTGCATGATATGATGTTTTGAACATGCTTTAGCTTGGAGTTAATGTTTCCTCCCCGGACATGTGCATTTAGGTGATTGCATTCATGATGGGCTGTTAGATTAAGTTTCTACCCTCCATATGATATCTTGAATCTCATTCGAGGACGAATGTTTCCAAGGGGGAGATAATATTCCACCTTGACAAAAAATAAATAATAAACTATTAATATTAATTAAAAATTAAGGATTAAAGCATTAATATTCCCAAATAGTTTGTTTTTTTAAAATTTAAATTTCAATTATTTTTCTTGCTCTAGTCCACCACCTCCTTCCCGTAACCCCCCCCCCCTCCCCCGGGCTCCGCCCTTCCCAGACAATTCCCTGTCTTTTTTTAAAAAAAATAATTATTTTATAAAAATAATTATTTTATAAAAATAATTTAAAATAAATCATACTTCTCCCCCGCCCCTCAAACCACCCACTCATTCCCCCCAAAATTTTGATATTATTTTATTTTGAAAAATAAAAATTCTACCCCATCTTATTTAAGCCTTTGCTCCTAATTTTTTTTTTTTTTTTTTTCTACATTTTCTCGTTTTGTGTTAGATATGTACATATATTTTTAGGATTTTTTTTCTACTTGTGTACCGAATATAACATAAATATTATTTTAAAAAAATCTTGGGTGACAAGTAAAAATATATTTGATAGGTATATATCTAACACAAAACGAGAACAAAAATTGGAAGCAGAAGGTTAGGTGGAGTGGGTAGAATTAATTTTTTAAAAAATAAAATAATATCTAAATTAGTATTTGAAGGGGAGAGGGTCGGGGATGAAATTAAAAAAAAATCGTTTATCAAAAAGAAATTTAAACAAAAAAAAAGGTGGTGGGGGGGGGGGGGGGAGGGGTTGTACGGTAAGACGAAGTGATTGTGGGTAAGAAAAATATTTTACATTATTTTTTTTTATAAAAAAAAATTGGGATAATAATTTTTTAATCTTTAATTTTTAATAAAACTTATAGTTTATTTAATTTTTGTCAAGGTGAAATATTTTTTTCATTTAGAGTGTGAATTGACAATTTTTTTTAAATAAAAGAGAGAGTATATTACACACACCATGATGAAAGTGTTATAAAAGAGAGTAGTGTGTTTCTCAAACTAATAAGTAATAGTTTAGGTATGAAACTCACACTCTCAATAGTGTAGATATGAAACTAAAAAAATTTAATAGTTTAAGTGTGTTTTTGACAATCTTTATTTTTTTATCAAATGTTTGATTCATTGATTCCCATCTCATCTTGTGTTTGAGTTAAAATTCTACAAAAAGCTTCTTTTCAATTATACCTTGAATTATTATGAGACTTTCTATTTCATGTAATTGGGTCAAGCTAAATAATTATCGGACAATATTATTTTTTTATGGCCTTCTAACTTGCTAGGAGAAGAACAATTTTGATGTCATGTTTGCTATTTTCTCACTTGAATTATTTGAGGACAAATAATTGTCATTGATCATTCACAAAATGTCAATTTTCAATTTAAAAAAGATAGATCATCTATTTTTAAAACCGAAAAGACCTATACAATAGTAAGATAGAATAAACCATTTACATTTATACATAAAAATTGCAAGTTGTAGTTTTAATATGTATGCAATTTTATAAATTGTTCAAGATACAAATAATTAGAAACCCACATATATATTAACAAATAATAAATTCAATTAAGGTCACAAACGTCATGTGATGATATATTTGCCTTTTCAATTAGTAAATATTACACAAATCACATTTCAAATATTGTATTGAATTTATGTAGCAACAAACAACTCTTTTTAAATAATAAAGTTTGTAAGCTAATTCATTTAAATAAATTTACTAGTACAAATATAAACATAAAATTAAAAAAAAAATGATTTGAGAAATATTTATGTCTTTACATAGAATAATCGCATGGTATTAAATCATATGTATTACTAATATCACTGAAGGTATTAATAATACATAATATAATACCATATATGGTATATACAAAATTCCTACCAAACATAGTACTACTATACATAATCCATGGACTAATTCTTCTAACACTTCCAACCAAACGACCCCTTAATCTCAACTTAAACCAATATTTACAACAAGGATAATGTCGGATTATTAGTTAAGGCAACTGTATTGGAAGTTCATCATACCTAAACTCCGGTTACTTTCAGCTTCTTTCAAGAAGTAATGAATCAGCACATGGAGAAATGGCAATGTGTTGTAGATGACTGACTAGGTTATCTAAAATGGTGTAAATATTTTCAGACTTAGCATGTGAACCATCAAAGGCAATAAACTCATGCACTTCCCCGTTCAATTCGATCCAACTACACCCCCGGGTCTTTTCCACACCCATCTCTTTCATCATTTTCCTAACATGAGCTACCCCTTCCCAATTTTTACAAGAAGAATACAAATTCGCCAAGAGTGTATATCTGCCACTGTGATAAGGCTGTATGTCGATTAGATATCTTCCTATCCATTCACCTAATTCATACGCCTTGTGAATCATGCAAGAACCAAAGAGAGCACCCCATATGCTAGGAGTAGGTTTCATTGGCATATCTTGAATCAATTTACAAGCTTCTTCCAGATATCCTGCCCGACCCAAAAGATTGACCATACAGCCATAATGATCTAAATTAGGTTTTACACCATAAACTTGGTCCATTAATGAGAACAACTGGCGTCCTTCATCCACGAGTCCTCCATGAGAACACGCACTGAGAATACCAATGAAGGTTACTTCATTGGGCCTTAAACCATTTCTCAACATTTCTAAGAAGAAGGTCATGGACTTTGCAGCATCACCATGTGTTGCCAAGCCATTTATCATAGCAGTCCATAGATAAACATCTTTATTTGGAACCTTCTCGAAAACCAATAATGCCTCTTCAATGCACCCACACTTTGCATACATATCTATCAAAGCAGTGGCAAGTGCTGTATTAAATTTTACGTTGTGAGCTTTTATATAATTAGCAATCCATCTGCCCTGCTCCAATGCCCCAAGCTTAGTAGATGCACTGAGAACGCTTGTCAATGTTACTTGATTGGGCACAACCTTTCTGGACAGCATCTCTTTGAAAACAGAGAGTGCTTCCCTAAATCTATTGCAGTGTACAGAGCCAGCAATCATAGCAGTCCAAGAAATAAGATTCTTGTAAGGCATGTCTTCAAAAACTTTCAAGGCATCATCCCAATATCCACATTTAGCATACATATCAACAAGAGCACTACCAATGTAAACATCCCTAGAAACCCTCCCTGGCTCGACATAGAAAGCATGAAGACACTTCCCAAACCAAACACATCTTAACGTTCCAGCAGGAGAAAGAGCTGCTACAACAGCCACTTCATCCACCTTAACTTGTGCTTGTTTCATCTCCAGGAAAAGTTCTAAAGCTCTAACTGGCAGAGCATTCCGGGCATACCCATCGATCAAAGCAGTATAAGAAAGCACATCCTTATGCGTAATATCATCAAACACTTGGCGTGCAAGGTCAACGTACCCACTGCTAGCAAAACTAGAAACCAAAGAATTCTGCACAAATTGGTCAGAAATGTATCCAAACTTAAATATTTGTGGGAAAATGAGATGTGGGTTTTCATTGTTGGCTCTAAGAAGCAAAGGAAAAGTATGTTTATTAGGAAAAACTCCATGTTGGCGCATTTGAATGTAGAAACTAATGGAGTTTTGAGGGTGTGAAGTATTAGAAAATCCTTTGAACATGATGTTCCATATATGTATAGTGGGTTTTGTGATGTGATTGAAGAGAGAAGAAGCATAAGAAGATGGGAATGAAGGAAGAAGTAAGCAAAGGCGGAGTAATTTGCTGAAAAAACAAGTGTGATGTGAGAGGCCACAAGTGACGACGACACAGTTCATCTGTTTCAGATGGTACAATTTCCATCCTTTCAACAACAACAACGACTTTAACTGTTCATTCAAACCTGCCATTTTTCTCCTTAGAGAAATTTCTTCGAGATGTTCAGAGGAGCTAAGTCTATAATCTCAAAGTAGAGGGGCATATGTGCCATTATATATGCATGTTATTTCTCTAGTTATATATATATAATCATGAAATTTATATTATTAATTATGTATTTAGATATAATATTTATTATAGATTAATTATTTATTCAACTTTAATAAAAAAATTAATATTTTAATAAAAGATTTAATAGATATTAGATGATTTAGAGCCCATTTGGATTGACTTAAAAAAGTAGTTTTTAAGTCAAAAATAAAAAGTCAAACTGAAATGACTTTTAAGTCAAAAAATAAAAAGTAGAGGGAGATCTACTTTTAGTTTCTGACTTATTTTAAGTCATTTTTTACCTTGCTAAACACTTCATAACTTATTTTAAGTCATTTTTGACTTATTTTAAGTTATTTTTTATCTTTGCCAAACACTTCCAGAAGTTAAAAACTGACTTAAAAGTAGGTTTGACCGACTTTTAAGACAATCCAAACGGGCTCTAAATATGATGCCCAATATAGGGGACTTATAATCCTATGAGGGCACATAGTTCTGGGACTATGAGGGGCCGTTTGGTTTGAAAATGAGTTATGATGGGATAAGTTATGTTGGATTAGTTATGATGGGATAAGTTGTGTTGAGATTATTTTTTATTGAGTGTTTGATTTGTTGTATTCAAAATAATAAATTTTAAGAACAATTTATTTGTTTACAAAAATGCCCTTCATTAATGTAAAAAGTGATATAACAAAAGGGTTGAAAGAGACATTTTTGTCATTTACCTATTTTATCCCGGGATAAGTTATTTCGGGATTACTATACCACCCAAGGAGAGGGATAACTTATCCCGGTACTAATTATTAATCCCGAGATAAGTTATCCCGAACTTGCCAACCAAACAACAAAATAAGCGGTACTATAATTTAATCCTGGGACTATTTGGTATTATCCCTCACACCAAACGACCCCTGAGGGTACGCTGAACCCTAGTCCAAATAGGTGCTAAGTCTAGTCCTAACTGAATATGTATATGAAACAGATGTAACTGAAATACGGAATAGCTCAAAATACTGACATGCAATCTGAGAATGCAACATTTATATACTGATAATGTGACATTCGAAATCTGAAGCATGGTTATTTGTTTAACTGGCCTAACAAGTGTAATTCATGAACTAAGAGAATCTACACAAACTAGGGTTCTGAGTTTCATACAAGGAATTAAGCAAACTTTCCAAGAAACAAGCTATTTTGATTTAGGATACTACAATAGCTTGATGAGTCCACAAATTGGACTCATTTAAGACTATATTTTGATAGAATTAGTGTCCTCAAATGCATATTTTGTCTCAATATCTGATGAAAACCCTTAAGTTTCAGGTAATTAGAGTTTGAGGCAAAGTATGGACACTACTTGACAAGAAGGAACAAGGCGACTGAAAAGAACGAAAAAATGAAGACCTGAAGATCGGCGAGCCCAGTTGGCGTGTCACCGATCGGCCTGGAGATTGCCTTTTGTTCTAGTGTGTTGATCCCTGAAGGGAAAGATCAAGTTGGCGATGAAACGGAGCAGTCGGCGTGCCACCGAGTAGTTCCACGAAGCAATACTATCACTACAAAAAAAAAATAGTGTTTAGCGACAAATTATTTTCCATCACTATATAACAACAGATTCGCAACGAAGTAGTCATTTCGTTGCAAAAATTACAAATATTTTTTTTGAGTTATAATATAGTGACGGATTGGCGACGGAATATGTTTTTTGTCGCTAAAAAATAGCGGGAAACTTTGGCGCCCTAATTTTCGCTACGGATTTTGCAACAAAGTAGGTGTTACAAATTTATTAATATTCAGCGACAGAATTAGTGACGGAAAAGTGTTGCTAAAAGTATAAATATATTTTTATGGAATTTAAATTATGTAGTGACGGAAATATCCGTCGCTAAAATTTAATGTAAATAATTATATTTATTTAGTAGCGACGAATGTCATAATCCATCGCTAATGTTGTTGCAATTTTTTAACCAAGTCATCAGTCCATAGAAAACACAAAAAGGAAACAAAAATTACTGTCCATAAAAATAGGGTTTTCTCTTAGTGAAAGCTCTCATCTAGCAGAAGCTCAGGTGAAAGCTCTTGGTGAAAGCTCTGTATCAGGTAAAACTTCTCTTAGTGAAAACTCTGTCTCCTTCTCCTTTCGACTGCTCCCGTCTCAGGTAAAAGGTGAAATTGCTCCCGTCTCCTTCATCCTCAGGTGAAAGGTGAGTTTCTGCCTTTGGTAATTTCTCTTTTTTCATCTGTTCGGTGAGCTTCTGGTGCGATGAAGAGGAGGCTGTTGAGTTCTATTTGGTGAAAAACAACTGGGGAACGGGATGTGGTTATCAGGGATATGCCAAAATTAAACGTAGTGCACTCGCTTGGTTCTACTTTGCTCTAATTTCTGATTTTGAATATTTTTTCAGATTTTTTTTAGTCTCTAACCTCTCTTGCTTCTGCTTTGCTCGACGAAATTCTCGAAATCTTATTGTGGTGGTGAAGTAGTCTCCAAGCTTGTCACTGTCTGGTCGCTGCCCGGAGAAGGCAACGTTTCCTTCATAATCTTCTCCTCGTCTTCTTCTATTTCTGATATGCCTTGCTACTCTGTTGTTGTGTCACTATTGTTTGTAGATAAGAACTGATGACTTCAATTTGCTATATATGTGTTGTTAAAAGATTTCCTTGATTCATATTAATGTGGATGTTGGGTTTTGTCATTTAGTATTTAGTATTTAGTATTGTCGTTTATTTGTTCCTTTGTTTGAATCTGTTTTCGGTGACTCCTCTTCGATATGTCGTAGAATCTCTGTTCTTCGTTTTCATTGTCTGTAAGCCCAGGTTTTACATTCAGTTTTACTACTGTTAATGATGCTTTCTATTGAAAATAAGGATAGAATCTTGAAGCTAACTAAGGTGAAGGTTGTTTGTGTTTTTGTTTTGTTGATGTAGTAGTTTGTTTTCAAATCCCCTGATCATTCTACGAATCAAATTTATGTTTCCATCTGCCTAAATTTTAGTAAAAAATTCTCACTGTTTGTAGTTAAGCTTATAAGGTGTGAAGTCATGTTACTGTCCAGATTGTAGTTTGCTTTCAAAGTCGTTGCCTATTTCTCTATTCTGATCATCTCGGCATGTTGTTCTGCTTGTATCTTCAATCTTTTTAAGTCTTTGAAGTATGACCTTGTTAAAAGGTTTGATATTGGTATAAGTATGTATATGTTCTTGTTGAGTTAAATAAAATGTAACGGGTTAATCTTTGTTGGCCTTATTGTTTAATTCATAAAAGATTAGATGTCAACAATTAGGAAGTCACTGAATTTTGTTTTAGCAGTTATTAAAGTAGTATATGTTTGCTTTTGTTCTATTTGATAGCTACTAGTTATCCTTTCGTTCCTTAAACTCGTCTTGTTTATTTATTATACTTAATAGCTACTAAGCTATTAAGTAAACAATAGAGTAACTTCTTTTTAGATTCGGCGAAATATCTTAAAAAGCATTTTAGCTTCTGATTTAGTGAGCATTAATTTAGCTTCTTCTTTTTCTATCTTTTATTTCCAAGTTTTATAATTACTATATATAGGTAATTCTAGGTGTAAATGTTTATAATCTACACCTTTTGTTTAGAGGCAACTATCTAACAATAGCTTCTGCACATACTCTTCAACTTGGTATCCACCTTTACATCCTTATATTTTATTTGACCAGTTAACTTCTTAGTTTTTCATTTGAATGAACTAAGTATCTTTGATTTTTACTATATTTTTTTCATTGTTGCATCAGTTTAGCATTTTAGATGTATGAAATTCTATCTGCTTTCATTTGATAATACAACTACTAATATTCTTGTGCAATTCTCACAGGACAAGTCTTTTACCCTACAAGACCTTGCTTCTCTACTTTGTGGTAATTTCTCTTTTCTTCATATGTTTTCTTTGGTAGGTAGGAGTTCCTTTTAGCTTTTGAAAATGTTACCACGATTTTCTGAAAATGTTCGTTTTATTTGTGTATTTAAATACGTTTTATGCTTTAAAAATCACTGGAAGTAAGCCTTACTCTTTATTTTTACCCCTGATTTAGCTCAAAACTTAACTATCAAGGTATTTACTTTACTGGATGTAATTAGGAAGATGCTTGTTGTCATTGTATCCAATGTGCTTCAGCAAATTTAGTTTCTTTATATGTGTTTTGTATTTTGTTATTTGTATGCTTGTACTACTAGTTCCTTATTTATAAAAGGAAGTATAGTTTATACTCTAAAGTAAGCTGGCTGGATTAGAATGCTTTATTATTCTGTAAGTTGACTGGAATTAGAATTCTTCAGTAAGGAAAGATTTTTCTTAGGCAAGCTTTTTTTCAGCTTTCCTAGTGAGAAATTTCAGTTTTAGCTCCTCCTTTCTTTAATTCACAGGCATAGGAGGTCAAATTCCGATTGTTGTGAAAGTTACTGAATGAATCTATTTCATTCTAATTCGAGAAACTATTTTTGTTAGTTCGATCTTATATTTTGACTAAATTTAATGAATATGAATTAGAGTACCTTTGGTCAATCAACTAGTGCTTTTTTAGTAAAAGTTTTGTTTGTTTAAGCATCGACAGAACATGAATAATCTAGAGCGTGGTTGGATGTATGAGAGATTGGATGGTCGAGGGGCTATAAACTCTAGTTTCATAACCGGTGTGGATAAATTTATCCAATTTCATGTACACAACATGATCGCTTGAGTGGTGACAAAATTAGATGTCCATGTAAAAAATGTCCAACTTTACATTCATGGATGTTGAAATCGTTAAACATCACCTTTATAAGAATGGATTTGTTGATAAGTATTTTGTTTGGAAGCATCAAGGGGAAAAAGATGTGATCAATGAGATTTCTTCAGGTCAAGATATGTATGGTAGTGCTCAACATGAATTAACATATGATAATCCATACCGACAAATG